TTTCTTTCATCTCTGAGCTTGCAAGAGATCATTCTCCGCGAGCAAGCTTCAAAGTATGATTCTCTCCCTTTTTTTTGTTTGTTGATCTAGTAAATCCCCTAAATACCTTTTTGGATATACTCAATGCTCAAAGTAAACATTTCTCGCTTGTCTCTTTAGAAAGATTGCTCATTAGTTTGTAATGATAAGGTAATTTGTTGCTTACTTTGTGTGCATTCATATCTTAGGGTAATATATGCATCTTTGTTTTTCTTTATATTATTTTCATTTGTAAAAAAATACCATGTTATGTACGAGCAATCAATAGTAAGAAAAAGAAGATGAGTTGTGATTTCCACATGGAAGTATGGTTTAGGAAAATGTAATTAGCATGTATTTTGTTTATACATAAAATAATGAGGACCTAGAGGAAGAAAAATTACAGACAGACACAAATCCGTAGGGCTTCCTTTTAACTTTTGATTTATGTATACCAAACTAAAGGGCCTACATGAGAACCTCTAAAGGTGTGGGCTTACGAAATCTTGTAACATAAATTGTGGACTTACGAAATCTTATAAGAGCATCCGCATTGGTTATATTTTGTATGTGTCTTTAAATATAAAATTATTAAAAGTTGAGTAAAAAGAAGAAAGAGAGTGTTTTTGGTTGAAATAATGGGGTGTATTGAAATATAAAATTAATAAAATTTGAGTAAAGAGATAAGATAGTGGGTATTATTGGAGAGAGGATGTCTTTTGGGATGTATGGGAAGACAAAATTGGAAAGAGAATGGATGAAAGTTTGAGTGTTTTTAAATATAAAATTAATAAAAGTTGAGTAAAAGAATGAAAGAGAAGGTATAAAGTTGAGTAAAAGGAAGAGAAAGTGTGTTTTTAATATTTTTTAATTTAGAGACATCCACATTTTATGTGCAATGTGGATGGTCTAATATAATGATAAATTGTGAATTATCATATCCCTTTTTTCTCTCGACGAAATCCGCCGCCTCAACAGTAACAACTCCGGTTTTTGCAGCGATTGGGTCCGGCGACGGCGGCTTTCACAGGGCCGGTGCCGGATCTGTATAATATGGCCTGTATTTTCTTCCCTTGGATTGCTTCGTTGCTTGAAGCCGGGTGTGATGATGTTCGGGTTTCCGACTTGTCAAGGTCGCGGCGGGGTGAGAGACCTCTCCGGTTTGGGTCGAAGGTGCGGCTGGTTCTGGGAGCCCGGTCTCCTTGGTCTCGTGCTTGCTATCTTTTTCTCCCCGGTTTGACTTTTTTATCCTTGAGTAAGAAGTTTCTCGTCGATGGTCAGATTAGTTTTAGGTCTATGTGGTGGGTCTAGATCAGGTTAGGCGTGTTCCTTATGTTGAATGTGCCTCGCTTTTGGTCTTGGCTTGAGTGGAGATCTCCGTTTTCATTCTAAAGTCCATGATTGTTAGTTTAAGCTCTATCTCTATTCCGGCTTGGTTGATGAGTCTATGTCTTCGGGTGTATCGTGTTCCTGCTTAAGGTGGTCGTACGTGCTGTTGGTTTAAGGCTTCGGAAAGGGTGACTCTTTCTTATTGAACAAGATGATCTTGTTTATCCTCGCCTGGCTACTTAGTTCCCTTTTATCCGATGTAAATATTTCTTCTATTGGCGTTATGGATACCAACTCCTTACAATACATATTATACTTTAATACTATTTGCTAAGAAAAATTGTGTTTCATTTCATACTTTCGATACCTTCTTTTCTTTTCTTTTTCGAAACTTAACTATTTACTTCATCATTAAACCGCCCCCAAACTTAAATATTTAATCACTATCTTACCTACCTAAACTATCTAATTCTAATTAATTCCACATGACTAATAAAATTTGTTAATTGCGTTTTGATTAACCATAACCGCGTTTAAAATTTGCGATTGCCTAGATCATTATGAACTTTATCCATAAACGGAATATAAGTTAAATAACTCAAAGACCAAGATCTCAGCAGAATAAAATCAGATTAACACTGAAAGCAATAATGAAAATATGATTAAACAAAAGATTTTTAAACCTCACTCACTAATCCCTATGTTTCTAACTCAATAAAACAGAACAACATTAACTCAAAGGGAGTGGCACAAAGCGTAATTTACGAGAGATTCTGAACGGTTTCAAGACTAGACAGAGACGGAGACAACTACGGCGGCGACTTGGCATAGATTGGCCTTATAAAGCGAAACAATTAGAACAAGTGAATGCCATCTGATCCAAATATATCATTCACATGGTTAGCATCATCAACATGACCTGAAGCGTGAGAAAACCCAAACTTCATAGGCAACAAAAGAATACTTCACATTTGATTTGATTGATCCTAAAGGTCTACAGTGTTCGAGTGTTGGATAGCTTTTAATTTCTCAAGGAATATTGTTTCTAAATTTTCTATAATTTATGTCGATTTGATTAAGCATGAACAAGAAGAAAAAAACACTGGGTAAATGTAGCTCTGGTTATGTCTTTTATCATCAGTAATTTCAGATGGCGGAAAAAATTGGATAGGTTGGAGGATACTCTCGCTCGGTCTATTGATGCTAAACCGGGTTGAAACTCGAACCGAATATTAATTGTAATTTGACTATTCAGATCTGAGAGATGTGGGCCCACAAAATTTGTTACAGGGGTAAATACGTCATTTGAAATTCAGATTCTTCGAAATTGCTCTCTCCTTCGCTATAACAAAATTCGAATCAATTTTCTTCTTAACAAGTTAGCGAGTAGTGAGACACTGAGTGAAGAGAGAGAGTGAGAATGAGGAGGAGATCTGGTGATATCGAAGCAGAGAGTAGAGGGAAGAGGAAAGCTCCGGAGGGAGACGACAATGGTAGAGTGAAGAGACGATCAGTTCAGAGAAAGAAAAAGAAGAACACTCTTCCGAGAGACGCAAATGGTAGAGTGAAGAGACGATCGGCTCAGAGAAAGAAAAAGAAGAACCTCAGAGGAATCTGTGGCTGTGTATCACCTCGATGCTCTGCTTATACTTACCGTTCCAGCTTCTCATGGTACTTTATTCTCCTTTCTAGACTACACGCGATTTCGATTTTGTGAACGAAATTGGATCTGTGCGTGTTTGGGTTGAGCTGAAATTTGATTTTGAAATGCGTGTAATCCTACTGTATTGGATGGATCTATGACTTAGAGCTTGATCAATCATCTTTGGTACTTTCTGGAATTTCAAATCTCGGAACCAATTGGATTTTTCTGAGAAATGCATGTTTATATTGATTTTACTGTTTTCTTCATCCTCAGTGTTGTTTGAACCCGCCGAGTCGGAATTTGGAAACCACCGACTTCGAAGTTCGACAGAACTCTCCTGGCTCAGCC